AAGGGCCAACAGCATGCTGAAAAAGTAGATGCTCTGTCCAGAAGTGATGAAATCTGCTTCCCCAGATGCATTCCCAACCTGCACCGATCAGTTCTCTCTTGATCAGCTTCAGGTCTCTTCTGGAAGATCGGCAGTACAGTGCGAAGAAAATTAAGGCAGAGGAGCATGTACAGTATCCTTATGTCATGTCCCCGTTTAACAGGGCTTAACTGTGCTTGGCAAAGCTCTGAACATGTTGAGGAACCATATCAGGGTTAAGTATGAGAAGAATGTGCTGAGGATTAAAAGGTCTCTATTGACTCAAGTCACCCTTCTGGCTGAAAATCTACCTGAAGTGGCTGCTTTGCTTTCTAGCCTTGTAGGAGTACGTGGTGCTCCAATTTATTTACTCTAGCCACTTCCCTCTCTTGTGTGGGATTTTTCCATCTAGCAGCAAAGAGACGGAGCAGAGTGTCGTCACAGAAGAGTTAAATCCTATTGGCAGCGAAGGTCAGGAGCCTTAAACAATGTTATGCTTTTAAATTAATTACTTCCCCATGAAGCCTGTAAGGGAATAGTTGAGTAAAGCTTTTGTTTGCAGGGAGGTGAGGCACAGGTTCAGGCAGACATGGAAAAGCAGAGTAGTTAGTGTCTCTGAATACTTGTTTTGGGTTTCAGGTTGTATCTATGTGTGTTGTTGGGTCTAGAGTCAGGCCAGCGCCCATACAGGTGCCTAAAGTGGCATCTGCAAGTGTCTGACTTGTCTGAGTGCCAGCTGAAACCTGGGCTGCCAGGTGCTCTCAGGCTGAGTGCTTGGGATGTTTCTCCTTAAAGGGAAAAAAAAGCAGCTTATGGCTACCCTCCCTCTACCCCAAAAGCGTGTCTGACCATCTTGTGCTGTTTTACGGGTGACCTTGCAAGCAGAGAAGCCTCGGAGGAGTTCTGGGATTTGCCAGGACCCTCTGCACCTTTCCTTCAGCTTATTACAGCCAAACACTGATCCCTTAAGAGCAAAGAAGTGTGCCTAGTGCCGCGGGGTGCCTGTGAGCAGGTCTGGAGCATCCCAGCTATCTCCTGCAGCTCTGCCCTGCCCACCCGCGGCAGCTGGCTGTATCTCGGCCTCTCACGCCATGAGCTAGGTGTGAACCGAAGTCCCGCTTGCGTTCCTCTTCCAGCCCTGTCATTCTTCAAGGAGCTCTTGTTCTGGTGCTTGCCCCAGGAAACGTCTCAGCTGTCTGCCCTGGATGCTGCCGCCTCCTGCTCCTGGCAGAGGGGCAGGGTGGAGCATGTTGTCCCCCAGCTTCATCCCTGGGGCTTTACCTTGGAAGAGATTTCTGGCCCGCTTGTACAGGGCACCAGGCAGCTGCAGGGTGCACAGTGGCTTGTTTATTGTCAGCATTTGGCGAGCAAAATGCAGGTTTGCCTCTGCCTCAGTTTCCTAGAACTAACCCTCAGTCCTCTTTTGAGTGTTTTTTACTATTGTGGTTCTCTGAAGGCATGTAACAGGCTAGGATTTGTACTCTTGGTTGGTTACTGGGGGAGAGGAGACACTTCTGCTGAGGGCCACGCTGGCCTGCAGTGAGAACCGCCCCTCTCCGTGGAGTGTTTGATGAAGGACTCGTATTAACAGGGTCTTTCTCCCCAGCAAGCAGCAGCAGAGTCTGCCTGTTCCCAATAGACGTTCCCTGCTGCTGCTACTATGAGGAGACTGAGTCAATTAAAAGCTATTTCTGCAGCAGGCAGCTATTTTAGGGAATCAAAGAGCATGTTACGGGGTGGAATGATCTTGCTGGGCTGGCAGATCAGGCAGCCGAGAAGGAACAGCTGCTCTGTCTGCTGCGGCTGCTCTGTTCCCTGCCCCATGCTGTCACTTCTCATATGCAGGCACACTTAACCCCTTGCTCCTTCTCTTTCAGCTTGCCACGGTGGAGCCCGGGATGAAGTTCCACATGTACACGAAAGAGGAGCTTGAAGAGGTCATCAAGGATATTTGAAAAGGAGACTCCCTCAAAGGCTCATTCCCCCCCTCCCGATCAAAGCGAACTGACTCTCGGTTCCTTCTAGTACCTGTGATTTTATTTTCCAGCAGCATCCATAATTGCTCTTCTTAGAAGGCTCTTAAGGTTTTTTTACAGTTTCTGTACATAACTGCTCTCTACAATAAGAGGAAATGAGAATAAATCATTTTGTTACTCTAGGCTGCGTTCCTCATCGCGGAGGTCTGAGGTGGGGGGAGCGCTTATTGCTGAAATCGGGGGGCAGGTGGGGGGGGATGTGCTGCTGCAGTCAGGGGCTGCGGCGCTGCGGTCCTTGCCGGCTGCAGCAGGAGCGAGTCTCCCTCTCGTGGAGAGCGTCGTGATAGCGCATCGGGAGATCTATGTGTCATTTCATGAGTCTTGAAATTAAGATCTTTAGATCTGCTCACACCTGTTTGGTGCATTCCCCTTGTCCTTCTCCAATGCTGGTTTTTTTTTTTTTTTTTCTGTAAAGGTTTCGCTGGAGCTCTGACTCCTTCCCAGGGAAGAAATCCATAACCAGGCCTGGGGTTTGTGTTTGTTTCTAGGGTGAGCCTGGAAATACCCCTAACAACTGTAACTAGACAAGAGCGCCCCTGAATGGGAGTAGGTTTGGGCTTAATGGGGCAGCCCCTTACCTGTGAAATTGTGCAAGTACTGCTTAATTTTGAGAATAGTCTCCTTTTGACCAGCAAGCTTCTGCTCTTCCACTTTACAGGGCTTGCTGCTTGTGTTTCGTGTTCTCCAGCAGACACAGAATCATTCAGGTTGGAAAAGCCCCTCGGGATCATCGAGTCCAACCGTCAGCCCGACTTTACAAAGTTCCCCCCACATCCCCCCACAGCTCATCCAAATGTCCCTTAAACACACCCAGGGATGGGGACACCTCTATCCTTGTCCTCAAAATAGCATCTGAGAATTGAAGATCAGTCTGATAAAGGAATAAACTGAGATTAGCAGAGTATTTTCCTATAAAATCATGCTTGCATGGTCAGCACAGCTTCAGGGGCTGGGAAGCCAGCTCTGCCCTGGCCCCTGGTAGCTTGTTCTGTGCCACTTTGTGAACGCTGGCAGGCGGCGGAGGCTGCTCTGCTCTGTCCTATTTTGAGAAATAATAATTTCACCCTGAACAAAACAACGTTGTCTGCTGTGGGAGACAGACGTGGCATGTGCTGCTGCCAGGAGGGGGATTGCCCTGGTAAATGGGGCCATTTCCAGTGTTATGTTTGACTGAAATGAGTAACTTTCCTCTCAGTTCAGCGCTAGGGATCGTCTGCCGGTCTCCAGTGGGTGTTTCATCACTTGGCAAAACCAAACAGTCGCAGCAGACTGCGGCTGATCTCACATCTGCCAGCCTCTACCTTTTACGGAAGGGAAAATGCCAGTCCTATTAATTTTTTTCCTTTCTTGCTGTTGCCAGACAGATGCAGGAAGGCAAGCCAGGTCTTCATGGCTGGAAGATCAGTCCTTGGATAACCTCAATTTTCAGAATAGCTGAGCACCCTCAGGAGTTCCTGCTGTGAGTTTCCCCTCTTTGCCTAACAGTCTAAAAGAAACAAATTGGATCATCAGGCAATGCCTGAGGTTGTGGTAGGGGTTGAATACAATGCCCCATACCTGCAGGTCGAAGAACAAACATAATAAAGAATTAGTTGATGGACTTTACCCTTTGGGAAGACCTTCCTTGTAGCTTAAATGTGGGGAAACAAGCCTGACTCTGGCTCTGCCTGCACAACTTTGGAGCACCGTCCTTGGTCTCTGTGCTCCTCATCCCTGAAATGAATTTGAGGCAGGGGTGAGGGCAGCTCTGGTTTGGGAGCTCGCCTATCCTGAATATCCAGCAGGCCAGGATGATATCCAGGGCACCACCCCAAGCGTCACCCACATAAAACCACCCCACAAGCGAAACTGTGGCTGTATCAGCTGGTGTGTGTGTGTGAGATATAAACACCCTTTATCTTTAATGTGCTTCAAAGCTTTATACCCTCTCAAAGCTCAGTCCTGTTCCCTTCTGCTTTAGTAGGGAGATGGGTGAGTGTCCCAGCTGTTGTAAAGCACCCAGCCCCATGATAAACCCTGCTGTTCTGGGAGGTAGTGCTCTTTTTAGATTTGTTTGTGTCCTAGGAAACACAAAAAGCTAATTATTCCCAATGTGGTGCTCAGCAGAAAATGATCCTTTATGCCCTGCCCTCATCACATGGGTTGCTGGTGGCAGCATCACATGAGAGCAGCTCCCCTGTAAGTGAAAATCGAGCCTTTGTGCTCCTTATCTGATCTGTCTTGGCAAACGAAAAGCCTGAGTTCTTTCCAGACATACAACAGCCTAAATGTGCGAGGGGCTGAGGGTAACGGAGCCCTGTGTGCTCACCTCCCGCCTGCCTGATTGACATTGGCCCCTCTGCGCCCTCGCTGGGTTCGCTGAGCCATGCCACCCCCACAGGGCTGGGTTTACTCGGACTTTTCACACATCAAACTTGTAGATTGTCTGCTTGGGGTGTGTGTGTGTGTGTGTGTGTTTAAAATTCCCTTTTTTTTCAAAGTAAAAGGATGAGAGTGGGGAGGGTGGGTACGGGGTCCCTGAGGCTTTCCCTTAGGTGTGGGGAGTGTGAAACGGAAGACACCAAGGGGGGTGGGAGCTCCTGGTCCCTTCTCCGACATCCGCCTGCCCTGAGCCGGGAGGGGACACCTTTTGAGGGGGGCAGCCCCCCGCCCTCTCCACGGGGCGGCTGCCAGGGGTGTTTGTTGTTTGACATGTTGCAGCCACGCTCCCC